AAAACATTTAAAAGATAAGTTCTAAGCACAAAGCTTAGTGAGTTCCCCAAAAATACCATATACCATATATATTAGTAGGCCCATCCCTAGGTGATATTTCAACCCATGTGAAAGCTATGATCCAAAATAGTATTACAATCACTTCCACTAATATAGTCCAACTGTAGTCTTTACCTTTATGATCTAACCATGCTCTTCCATGCAAGTCATAAAGACAGACAATCATGTTAGTATTTTGATACAACCATAGTCTTTCATACATGTGTTGTGATCCAACCACATTCTTTCATACAGGTGTTGTGATACAACCATAATCTTTCATACATCAGTCACACGCATACTCATACACACACATACATAATCTAACAACCTACATAGTACAGTGAGAAAACTCACCTCAAACTCAAATCATAGGAATCACATCTCGAACGAACGAGAAACGTGTGCTATACAACCCTTGCATAATCATACAAGTTAAACCCTTAATCTATCTTTCTAAAACTAGAAATTTAACAAAAAGTCAACCAAGGTCAAAAAGTCAATGATCAACAAAAGTCAATGGTTAAAGTTAACAGTCAAAGTCAACTCAAGTGACCCCGACATCATGGCCATCCCTTGGCCACATCATGGCACTTCCTCGACAAAACAATTAAGACCAGTACACTCGCCACGTCATGGGAGCTACAATGTGAACAACCTAATGGATTAATCTATTAATTCGTTAAGCCCTAAGCTCATACTTTCTGGAAGGCTTCTTTGGACCCTAATGGTGCATAAAAATCCAAACTTTATGGAAATTCATGTCCCATGCATGTCTTCACCTTTTCTAGGTAAAAAAGGTAAAGAAAATGGTCTAAATTCATGCAAGACTCTCAAAACTCACTTAACTTCTATATCCATAAGGTATATTGCTCTTGGAATATTGGAGAGTCATGCAGTTACAAACTTTATCTCTTCTAACCACTCAAACTTCACTTATGGATCAAAACATGTCAAGAAAGCTAGATCTAAAAGAAGGTAATCATGAATATGAAGATTTGAAGACATACACATGGTCCAGAGAATGATTCCAAGGATGGAGAGAAGTTCCTTACTTGATCCTTGCCCAAAACCTTCTTCTTCTTCCTTCAAAGTGAAACAAGACCACAAAAAATGAACTAAGAACTTGAAAATCAAGGGTAATGTTTATGAAATAAGCTTTAGAGGTGATGGAGATTAAGGGTAGAGGAAACCCTAGCCATCACTTCCTTTAAATAGGGCTCAAGGACCGAAAATTAAGGTTTTTCATATCAGTTGTCACCATGTCTTGGCAAGAATGATGTCATGTCATGGTGCCTTAAATGAAATATGTGGCTTATACAACTTTGTCATGTCGTGGTGATCCCTTCACCACGTCATGGCCAACCAGAAAATCCTAATTTTTCTAAATGAAATTCATACCTGAAATATAGATGTTACATAATCGTTATTTGGTGTTCTTCAGTTTATGGGAGTGGCCAGTTTAAGGAGTGAGAGTGTTTTTGTGCTTCTCTGGTTTTACAATTCAGGTGAATCTCTCACCATGCCACTTATCTCATTGTATATCCTTTATATGTTAATATAATGGTATTGTAAGAGTACATGTATGCTAGTTGACTAGGAGAATTCCTTATTATGTATGTGTAGTATGGGACACTTATTGTTATGTTATGCTAGATTGACAGGGTCCTTCTTGTTGATTGTATGATACTATTAGGTATCATATTTGGTCTTGGTAATGTGATTATTGGGGATTGTTGAGTGAATACCCTAGGGGTTACATGTAGTTTAAGACGGATAGCCTGAGAATTATTGGTATAACGCCTTATTACATGGTTATTGGTTGATTTATTGATTTCAGGTGGGATCATCTATTCAACTATCTATTTGACTCCTGACTACATGTGACTATGTATCTCTGGGGTAGTTTCCAGTATACGCATTGGCCCTGGTACGGATGTTTTTCTAGTACGAGGATGGTGATGTTATTCTGGCCCGAGGCCAATGATGTAGTTCTGGCGTGAGGCCGATGATATAAAGGTGGATGAGAGCCGGTAGTAATGGTGGCCAAGAGCTAGTGATAGATTGTCGATAGTTGATATGTATGATTGTATGTATGTTGTATGCTTATGGATAGGATATTTGATACATCGTATGTATGGTGTAATATATGGTATATTGGGGAAATAACTAAGCTATATACTTATAGTTGTGGATAAAATGTTTTGTAGGTTATTCGTGAGAAGGACTCGGCGGGACTATACACATGCATCGAAGATATTGGTTTCCGTTGTTTTTGAAATTCACTATGTTAACAACATGGTTTTCAACAAAGGAATGCATTCTAATGATTTTAATTATAAGGATTTAATTGGCTACTTAAATTTAAATGAAAAATCTCTTCGTAATTTTTGGGACGTTACATCTTGATTTTCCGGAAGGAAGATTGTTGTCGGAATCTAGTTCTAGATGCTTCGTTTGATACATATAGGATTGATACGTCTTCCCCAATGTTTTGATTTCACTCTCCATTTGATACATGGATTAAGTCTTCACCCAATTATACACAGACGAGTAACTACTCTTGCCCTTGTAAGTGAACGACGTCACTATCACTCCCCAAAGCACCCCTAAAGAATCATGTGCTTCTAAGTCTAATGGAAACTGTATAACCTCTAGAAAATTTAGTTCCATCTAGGTGACTAGTGGTTGTGAAAGTGAAGGGAAGAAACGGTATTTCTAGTTTAGGAGCGATGATTTGAGGATGAAAATAGGGTAGTGTTGGTGATTTGTTATCATCAATGTTATTTAAGTGTAATAGGGATTACTTTGTTGACAAAAAATGATCTTGATAAATATTAAACAAGTAAGGAAGGTGTGGAGTACACACTTGTTTAAGTTTGATCAAGTATTAAAGTATATTGTCATTTACGGGCGAAACCCCTGAACGAACGGGGGTCCGGGGGCAGCGCCCCTGGGAGCGCGGTCCAAGGAGCGGCAGTCCCTGGCTGGGGTCTGGAATTTCTATTTGGGTTATATTGTTGTATTAAAAATGCATCAGAAAATCCAAATTTTGAATATTTGACCCGGTTTTGACTTTGAATTAATCCTTATACAAAACCCGGATTTATGATAGTTTTTACTGTTGAGGAAAACTATTATATGATAGTTTTGATAGTTTTTCAGATAAGGAAGGTTTATAACCAATTTTAGTCACTTTTCTGGTACTCACGAAATTACACCATCTCATTCTCTCTTTCTTTTCTCTCTGATTTTATCTGAGTCTTATCCAGTTGAGGATTTGGGAATACCACCCAAATACTTCGATTTAAAAGTGATTATCACGATTCTCAGATTTCCAAGTACCACTAAACCATATTTCTAACAGGTAGTCTACAGGGGAAGGAATCAACAGATGGGTGTAATCAAGAAAGAAAACCGGAAGAATGTAGTGGGGTTGGGTGAGGGTAGAGTTGAGTTTTTTTTTTTATAATTAAAATCAATTTAAGAAAAAGAAACATTAAATTAATAAAGGTAACGAAAAGTGCGGATGTATCCTTTGACTATGCTATGCAATTAGATACCCTTATGCTCTATCTAGTAGTATTACTTTTTTTTTTGGAAAAAAGTTATTATATATTAAAATTTAATTGTGCATAGACTTGAACAAATACTTGCATACCCTACATAATTTTTTCATGACGTGGATTTTTTATAACATATATTATGTAAAAAATAGAATGAAACAAGAATTCCTTTGTCGGAAAGTGGACGTGCAAATAAAACTAATTAAAATTTAAAATTTTGATTATCTAAAATATTCACATTTAATTCAAGAAAAAAAGTTGGAATACTTCAAAAATAGGAAACCTAAATCATATCATTAATTATGTATCTATGTCATCCCAATAAAAAGAACAAATATTCATAAATCCTTAAAAACTCAAAACACTAAACATTTGTCATTTATGAAGATCTACCCCCTTCGAACCTACCATGAACCATATGAGATGCAACTTTCTTCTTCATCACAAGTCTCATCGTTTTCTCTCTGTGTGGACGATAATCGACACAAGTTTTCCTTAGTCTCAAAAATAATCTAAATCCATCGATCAGAATCCTAGAATCCATATTTGTAAATCGATCAATCTCAAAGCATGTCTCTCATTTTCTCCCTATTTTTACTTTGTCTCCTCATGGGTATTAACTTTAAAAATATAAGATTTAGGTTTTGATGAGTACTAACTTTTCTAATAATATATATTAAGTGTTTAATTTTTTTATTTCATTGATTGTAAATATTATTTCCTCATTATGGATTTTGGATTAACTTTTATTTTTAAAGTTGTAATTTTCTTTTGTTTTAATTTTTTAATATTATCAAGTTCATTAAGAAAAATAGAATTTTTTTAAATAAAAATATATATGTCTTCCGGTGGAAATATCTATCAAAATAAAAACCTAATTTTACTTGATGGATGCTAAAAATAACTTTATGAACTTTGTTTTTTTTGGAAAAATGAATTCATACTTTTTAACTAAAATTATCAACATTATTCTCTGCATTTTGACATCGGTTGAAATGCTAGTCCATACTTTCAATCCAAATAAAAACATTAGACTAAATAATGCATACCCAAAAAAAATTAATAGGGACAGGAGATGTACCTATTAATTTTGATGTACCTTAGAGAAGTCATTTGATGTACCTTAGAGTGTGTTCAAGTTTGATGTACCTTAGAGAAGTCATTTCCACCAAGGGTTAAAGAAGTCATTTGATGTACCTTAGAGTCTGTTCAAGTTTTAGAAACCACATGGATTATTCATGCAAATATAGAAACACAAGGACCATTTGTATCAAAAACATTAATAGGGACAGGAGATGTGAATTTCGGTAAACCAGTGGGACCATTTATGTAATTTTGCCTAAAATATGCATATTACAGACATTATGTAAGGAAATTTGTTTAAGGAAATTGTCCCAAGAATTCCCTCTCCACTCTCCCAAATTTCGACGAGATGGCAAGTGACGACCCAACCGCTCGACGTCGGCGAATCGCCGAGAAAGGATCTGACCGTTTGGCTATGATCACCGGTGGTCGTACACCAAACCTACATTCTCCCCCATCCGATACGTCTACGAATCAACCCCATGACTCTCACATAGAATCATGCCCACCCTCCCTTACCCGCCAAGCCGACCAACTCTTTTCCTCTGGTATGTTTCTTCATCTAGTATTTACGATTTTCGATGTTTCATCTCACATTAGAAGATTCTTTCAAGGAATTTTGTTTCTTATTGTTTTGTAACCGGAAATTATAACTAATTTCAATAAGATTGTAATTGTCTTTAATACCTCACCTCACAAGTGCATCATTTTACATCATTTTGTCGACTTGATTATTAATATTTGATTACCTCGTTGATTGACACGATAATTTATGTGGTGATCGATTTCACCATCATTCCTCAAATGTTGTGCACATTAGGAGTGTGGACAAAAGATTATTTGATCGTGTGATAATTAGGATTTAATTACCCACCTTGTGTATATACCCTAAAATGCCAAAAAAAAAAAAAAAAAAAAAAAAAAATCTTAAGTGTTTTTAAGAACATCATGAATTATGGAATTGATAGTTATGCCCATTATGAAGGACCAAATATAATGTACTTTCATTTCCTTCTATTACTGAGCATATTGTATTTTCCAAGTTATTAAGCCATCAAATTTTGAAAAGCATAACCAATTACAGCGTTGTACTTTAAAAAATCTATCTAATTATTAGTATAATAGGGTAGATTTTCTAAGTATAATGTCATAATAAGAAAAATTCGAAGCAAACTCGTTTAATAAACATATAAATAAAATTTCATTGTTATTTTTTGCATTTAACTTGAAATCCGTATAAATCTACATATCTATGTGTGGAAGTTATAAGCTTTTGATCTTGCTATCTTAATTCTCATATAGTAATCTTGATTCACCTTTTGTATAACCGGAACAATAACAGTAATAGCAACAACAACTACAACAAATTTATGGAAAGTATTTCATTTTGTAGATGAAAACCAAGATCTTCCATCGAAGCCAAAAACTCAATCCAACTCGTCTAAACAATCATCTCCAAGAAACCATCCAAAATCGGACCTAGAAATCTATCTCCATAAAACCGTGAGCCCTAGTCAGTTACGTCCGGCCATTTTAGTGACCCAAGACATACGTCGCAAATGTTCGTTTTTTGTGGGGATTATCGCCCTTCTTTCATATATCGGATTCCCAATTCTTGGCAGCTATGTCATAAAGAGCATTATACTTTCAAGGCCACTTCTTTTGCTTTTGGTGTTCAATGTGGTAATAACAATTGGACCGCTTATTATGGATGCTATGAGAATGATCCAACATGAATCAAGAGTTGGATATTCATCTGGTGAAAGTGAGATTGGTGAGCATTTGGGTACGCCTTTTGAGTGGGGGATGTTGTTTAAAACTGGTTTTTGTGCTCTTTTCATGGATTCTTGCATTTATTCGGTGGTGGTTGTTTGTGGCACATCTATTTTTCAAAAGTGTGGGTTATAAAGAACCTTTTTTGCATCAAAAAAACCATGTGTTTTTTTCGTTGAGTTTTGGTTGGTGTTTATTTCGTAATGAAAAAACCTTGAGTTTGGGAATTTTTGAATATTATAGTTGTTAATGTTACTGCAAGAAGTTATATATTCAACTTCGTTTTCTATCCAAATTTCAAGTCGTATATGTGTATGGGTAAGTAGAAAATTTGTATATGTGAGCTCATTTTTACGGTTTTACCCATAAAATGTTTTTGAATGAATTTTAATCTAAACATGTTAAAAAATTGAAATTGATGTGATATATTTTTATTCCTATAAAAATATAAGTATAGATTGTGAATCTTTAAAAGGATTTAGATTGTACATAATCTCAAATGACATAAACATTATTATTTCTCTATCAAACAGTGACGGAGCTATATAGGAAGGTGGGGTACTACAACATCCCAAAAAACTGTTTTATATATATATATATATATATATATATATATATATATATATATATATATATATATATATATATATATATATATATAAAATTTTATTTGTAAACATGTTCTATGTTATTGTACCTCCAACTAAGAAATTGTATCATGTTTTTTAAGGTCCGTGATATGATAACTACATAAAATATATATTAATAATGTTTGTACTCTAGTATCAAAATTTCTGGTTCCGCCGTTACTTTCAAACACATTTTTTGTAAAATTGTAAAGTATGTAAAATGTCATTTTATTAGTATTATCGTCGCGGAATTTTATTAAAATTATTTTTTGGTAAAAAAGTAAATCCTATAGATTTTTTACATTAATTTATCCATATATGATATACCATAACAAATCACGAAAAGGTATATAATTTAATAATAAACACAAGGAAAACCAACGTACTATAATTATTATTACTTTTAAAAAAAATGTAGACCATCCAAAGTTCAATAAGTAGGATTCCTACATAAGTACTTACATGTGGCAACTTCTTTTGAGAAATGAGGGATTAAAATTAAATTTTTTATTTAGGCTAATTGCTAATGAATCCAGCAAACCAAACTGTCTACGCCAAGTTTATCCACCAACTAATTTTTGCTCTTTTCGTAAATTGGTAAACAATAAATATAAATATATTGATATATTAAAGACTTAATTACATAAAAGCTTTTTGTGGTATGGCATATCATGTGAAGGTGTTTTTGTTCAAACAGTTTTAAGTCTTTACGTGTCAAATTATTATTACACAATCTAAGTGTCATAGCAACTCACGTGAAACTTAGAAGTGTTCAAAAATATTTGTATCGGAATTTCTAATCAGGAATCCTATCCAAAATTATCCGAAGTTTCGGATATCCGGATTTTCATATTCGGATACGGGTATTTATTGTCTAAATTTTCGAATATTTCTGATATCCGATATCTGAAAATATGATTTTTGTAAAAGATTTTCTATTTTAATTATTATTAAAAAATAAAATTCTTAGATATTTCTTTTACTCATTCCTCTTCAATTGTCACCAAACTAGCAATTCTATGACCTCGTGTTGGGGAATTGTTTCACTACTTGTATTTAAATATAATTGATTGATTTGTTGACCAAAATCAATCTTAATAAATATTAAATAAGTAAAGAATGTGTGAAATGCACACTTATTTTAATTTATTCAAGATTCAAAGTAAATTGTTATTTAGGGGCGAAGCCCATGAACGAACGGGGATCTGGGGACAGCGCCCCTGGTAGCGGGGTCCAAAGGGCAAAGCCCTTAGCTGGGGTTAATTGGGGTGTGGGAGTAGGGCTTTTTTTAACAATAAATTCAGTTTAAGAAAAAAAGATAATATAAATTAATAAAGGGTAAAGACATGGGTAAATGTATGCTTTGACTAGGGTTATGCAATTGGATACCCTTAGGTTCTACCTAGTAGTATTACTTTTTTTTGGAAAAAATAATAATTATATATTAAAATTTAATGTTAAATATACTTGAACAAACATGTAACACCTAGTTTTGAAAGTGTTTAGTTGCTAGCTTCCTGGCCCAATCATCAGTTGTCATAAGGGTTAGGGCCTTAGAAAAGGAATGATTTGGCCCAGTTCGGATGTGGGTGGTAGGGTATACGTGACCAAGTATTTGATTGTGTCTTCGGAGGCCAAGGGTATGATCGCAATTTGACATCTCGACCTTCTAAGGATTTGGGGTTCTTATTTGGAAAGTTGTTCGATAATGATGAGTTGCTAGAATTGTAGGGCTTCTCGCCACCTTTTCTTGGATATAAGGTTCATTGGGAACGGACTTCATATGAGGAAGTTATGACACTTTATAGTTATTGGCAATATTAGTCCCTAATGGAGATAAGTGACAAGGCAATCCCATGTATGCATGGTGGCATGCACGAGAGTACGCCCAGCGTAAAAAGGGGTAAGTGGACGTGGGTGTAGGAGGCGTACGCCCATCATTTAAGAAGTACGCCCAGCGTACGTTCAAAGTCCTTAAGCCCTAATTTTTAGGGTTGGGCACTATATAAAGAACATTATTTCTCAAAGGCCAGCCTCCCTTTCACCTTAAAGCAACTACTACGAAACCCTAATCCATACTTGAGTGATCTTGGAGCTTAGAAGGCATTTTGAGAGCATTTTGGTGTGTTGGATCCATTCTCTAAGGAAGTAAAGGTCAAGGCAAGGTGTTGGTGCAAAGGAGAAGTTGTAGATATGTGATTGTTGCTTCATTTTAGACCATTTCAAGGTATAAAGTTCTAAAGTTAGTGGTTATTATTTTAGATCACTTTTATGATTGGGTTTATGGACTCTTTTGGTCCTATCGATGAAGTCCCTTGTGTTTGTGTCGTTTTTGGAACCTAGAGTTACCACTCTCAGTGTTATTTGAGTTCTAGAATCAAAAAGTTGCCATCTTGAAGGTCTTAATGGGTTCATGCATGAGTTAAGGTCACTTTCAATGAAGTAGAATGCCATTTTTAGAGTTTGGGTTTGTTTGGGGGCATGCAAAGCCACCAAGTAATCAACTTTATGGATTAAGACCCCTCAATAGACTCAGATCTGTGATTCAGATTTTGGCTTAACAGGATAGTACGTCGGGCGTACAAGCCAATATGCGCAGGGTACAAGCCAAACAACCTATACGCTAAGCGTACAGGTGAGTATGCCCCGTGTAACATCCGGATTCCCAGGTATATTAATCTAATATTTTATTTTTGGAGTTTGTGAAGGAACTCGGCCAGTTGATGCTTAGACTCGCCGAGTAGGGTTGCGGATTATCATCCGGGTTCGCGACTGGACTCGGGGAGTCCATGTTGTTTAATGAAATCCTAATCCCCCAGGTTTAGAGCCTATTTAAGGGCACTCGTAGTCTCCCATTGCGGCTACCAGTCCCTTGAGAGAACCCTAAGTGAGCTAAATTGTTTGGGAGGAAGGAGAAGCTATATTTGATCTTTCTATCTTTGGTTTAGCAAGAAGAAGGTGATCAAGAGCAAGAGGAGACTGAAGGAGGTGCGATTCTAGTGGTTTCAGAGTCCAGAGACTTCATCTCGAGGTATTTATTCGAACCTTCTTTAGTTTTGTAACATCCCAAAAATACAGTCTAAAAATTTCGTTTTAAATTAGTAATAAAACCATATTCATCAAACGTCATATAAAAAAATCATACACAATGTATCTCAAAATATCTTAACAACTGTCAAATATATCAGAGTATAAACATCCTAGGCTAAACGAATGGTGTGTGCAATGCAATCTTCCCGAGCTCCTCTTTTGAAAACTGAGTACCTGAAACCAAAACTGAAAACCATAAGCAAGAAGCTTAGTGAGCTTCCCCAAACTACCACATACCATACAATAACATATAAACACATACTAGGCCTTGCCTACTGCATCGGACCGAAGTTTGGAAACTGCATCGGACCAAAGTCCGGAAACAAATCAGGGCCTTGCCCTCTTCATCGGACAGAAGTTCGGAAACTGCATCGGACCGAAGTCCGGAACTGACTGGAACCTTATCCCCTGCATCGGGCGAAGTCCGGAACTAACTGCGTCGGACTGAAGTCCGGAAACTGTCTGAGCATAACATGGCATGGCATAAACATATCAACTAGCATAAACACATAAACTGCATACTGCATCGGGTCGTAGCCCGAAACACATAAGACATAAATCCTGTCTGAGCCACGAAGGCATCAAACATACTAAAAACTACATCGGACCGAAGTCCGGAAACTAATACTATCTAAACGGGCCAGCATTGTGGCCTTAGACCCGTTCCTACTGGAAGGAAACTCACCTCACACTGTTGACATCCCGTAGACACAATCTCATATTGCTGAAGTCCCGCAGACTCAACCTTAGCTGCTGGATGACAGATTCCCGAACTGTCAACACCAAAATAACACCCAATTAATAATTGGGTTCTAACACATAACTATAAATACATACTTTGGGTAATTACTATATTACCCTTAGCTTGGCTTACCCAAGCCCAAGGCCCAATCCATAGGCCCAAGTTAACTAGGGATCAAAGCCCAAGATATGGCTTAATTTTCCAAATTGGGACCAAACCTCCACATGGACTTCCCTTAAGGCCCAATTGCTCAGTCCGGTCCAACATGTCTCATTCAAAGGGCCCAATATCGTACAACCATCTAGGACCAAACTATGGCCCATCTATGTCCCAATTTTCCAAATTGGGCCCAATCCTTCATATGGGCCTTACCCTAGAGCCCAACTGATTACTCTAGTCCATTTAATTATTCTTGGATGGCCCAACACAAAGCCCAAGTGAAATTAGGGTTTCTCATAAAATAATAATTAGGGTTAAGTGTTTCTCACTTAACCCATTAAGGGCTTAACCCACTAAGGACTTAATCCATTAAGTCCATTATTGCTTAGATTAATTTCTGCCAATGATTATTATTTAATATTTCACTTATTAAATAATTCCCGTGTGTGTGTCCTGATAATTTCTCAAATGTTAGTATTTTCTCAATTAGCCCATTAAGGACCTACTCCATTAAGTTCTTTACTCTACTAGATAAATGGCATGTAATAGTTTGGGCTTAAATCACAATCCAATCCCAATGGCCTAAAAGTGGGTCCAAAAAGGTC